TCAAGATTATCCAGGATATGGTCGCAGAAAGGCTGAATTCATGAACCTGGGAGAAGTAGGAATCTAGTCCTTAAATTATGTTGGGTTCTAGAGAGAGTTTCTTCTTTGTCCACTCCAGTGTCCATTGCCCCAAGTCTCTGTAACACTGTTTTGCTCCCCCAAGTCCACACTCCATCCAAATGCAGCCTACCACTGCACACACACACAGCCAAGTGCCCTGCCATTGCTCATCTTAGAGCCACAGAATGGTCATTGTCTCTGGAGGGACTGGGCCTGCTCCACTGCACACAGTGCCACTGCCAAGACTCACAGCCCCACTAGAAGAGACAAGCCATAGGGTCCCAAATGGAAGAGGCTCTGCCTGTTCCTAGGGACTCTGAGCCTCAAAACTTACCATAAATATTCTGCTTCAGCTTGGGATGACTGTGTGGGTGCCACGCCCAGGGGTGAGGAGCCTGCTCCTGGGCTTGTGCCGGGGCCTGTCAACTCTCCCAAAGGGGGCTCTCCATGCTGCCAACACATAGAGATTTGTGTGAAAGCAAAGAAACAAGAACAGCATGGTGGGACTATTTCAAAGCATCCCATGCTGCTGCCTCCCCTTAGGCACCAGACAAAATGGCACCAGGTTTGCCAGGAGTTGTTCACAATGGTATTTGCAAAGTTGTCCCTGCTTCATCTGACTTTGGAGGAAACTCAGAGGCAGATTCTCTGCCTAGCAAAATCTTCTTCCATAAGGTAAGCTATTAAGTACAGCAGTGCTTTAAATGGGCCTGTGCAAAGAAACCCCTCATTGGATTTAGGATGACTTCAGACATATCCTGTTCTTTAAGCCTTTATTTATTTGTTTGTTTATGTTTTCCAATAATTGTGACCAACTCATTCATACAGGGTAAATTAATACTTGATTTTAATTTAAAATAAAATCAAATGCATTTTTTTTGTTTTTTGTTTTGGTTTTGGTACCAAGGACGGAACCCAGGGGTGCCTAAACACTGAGCCACATTCCCAGTCTTTTCTTTATGGTTTATTTTAAGACAGGCTCCCACAAAGTTTCTTGGGGCCTCCCTAAGTTGCTGAGCCTAGCTTTGAATTTTCTATCCTCTTGCCTCTTCCTCCAAAACCACTGGGATAACAGGTGTGCACTACTGTGCCAGGCTCAAATGCATTTTTAAAACAATGCAAACAAACTGCCCTTGTATAAGGAAAAGAAAAGCATCATGCATGGAAGAAGAAAAGCTCATAACTATAGTTTATGTTACTTAAACTGATAATATTATATTAATCTGTTTTATGCTCCTATAATAGAATTCCAGATTTCATATGTACCTTGATTTATTTAAAGCGCAGATTTACTTCTTACAGTGGTCAAAGGTCATGGTACCAGCATCCTGTGAGGGTCAACTTGCTGCATCATTTCATGGTGGAAGGTGGAAAGGCAGAAGAGTTCATATGCAGCATAGAGAGGGGAAGGTGCCTCGCCCACTCCTTTATCAGGAACACTCCCAAGAGAACCAGCCCACTCCATGATCATGGCACTAACTCCTTCATGAGGACGGTTCTCCCATTACAGAATTGCCAAGAATAGTTCTGTCTTCCAACACAGCTGCATAGCAGATTATTTCTTCCACATGCACTTCCAGGGACATTCATACCACAGCTTTCCATGGTGAAAATTTCTTGTCCTCCACATCTATGTCATTCTCCCATGCAAAATGTATTTATTCCATCTCAATATCCTCAAAGTCCTAATTTTTTTTCTATCACCAAAGGAAAAGTCTAAGGACCAGAGACTCATCTGAATCAGACACAGGGAAGTCTCCAGGTGTGAGTAACATGGGGACAATTCTTCTCCAGCCCAGAGCCTGTGAAATCAGAAAGGTTCATGGTTCCAAATATAAGAAAAGACATGGGACAGGTATACTTTTTCCAGTTATTATATAAGAGGGAAAAAGGAACAAAGGAGCAACAGATACCAAGCCTAAAACTTCATGGATAAAATAACATCTAGCTGGGCACAGTGGTGCACACCTGTAATCCTAGCAGGTCATGAGGCTGAGAAAGGAGGGTTGTGAGTTCAAAGTCAGCCTCAGCAACTTAGCAAGGCATTACGCAACTCAGTGAGACCATGACTAGAAAAAAAATAGAAAATAGGGCTGGTGATGTGGCTCAGTGTTTGATTGCCCCTGACTTCAATTTCTGGTACCAAATAGTAATAATAAATAACAAAAACAAAAACAACAACATTAAGATTTAAAGCTGGAAGATAATATAATTTCTACTGCAGATTGATGGAGCATATTGATGGGCTTCCTCATGCCATTATCTTCATGTGTCTATTATTGTGCTTTGATTTTATCTGTCCTACCTCTATCCTGCCTTCTCCTTCCTTCTCTTCCCCCTCCAGAATACTTCTTCTTCTACTTTCAGCTCATCTTTTTACATACAAGGCATTAAGATATTTTTTTTCTTCACATACTCACCACGATGCTTTGCTCTGTCTTGATCACAGCCATTCTAACTGGGGTGAAATGGTTTCTCATGGTGGTATCCACCTGCAGTTACTGATGGCTAATGATATTGAATGGTTTTATATTTTGTTTTTTGTTTTAAAAAACTTGAAAAGGAACTTTGATCATCTACTCTGGAAAGATGCGGGGACCCATGTCCTTAGCCCTGTCTTCAGGGCTGACAAAGACTTTGAGGGTTTACAGAAAGGGGACTGAGGTCCAGTGTGAAGAGCTCACACAGCTGGAGGCTTTGCACAGCTGCCAATACAGAAGGTCTTGGTCAGGTGTGCCCTGCCCATCCTTATCTCAGGCTGGTCCCACAGGGCCTTGTCCAATAAAAAAGTTGCTGTTGCCTGAGCTGGGGAAGGTGGGGTAGACTCCACTCTTCAGATGAGGTCCATCCATCATCCCTTTGTCCTGGAATTCAGGATGACTTTGGAGCAAAGAAGGTTGGTGTAAAATGCAAGCATAGAAGCTGAATCTTTAGTCCCCCTTTTAGCCCCCCACTGACATTTACAGGACAAAGTAAATAATCTAAGTCCTTGTCACCATCTTTCCTGTCCTCTGCCCATTCCTCAGTCCTGAGGGACCTCGAGTGTTGGCCAGTCTGGTCAGCAGGTTCCTTGTCCCAGTGCTAAACTGGTCTTTAAACAATAGCTGGAACATAAAAGCAAAAAGGATCAGAAGTTAAGCCTGAAAGTAGAAGCACCATGATAAATTATAAAGCGGAATACAAGTGAGCCAAAGTCTGAAGTTGCCAGTTAGGCTTCTCTCTCCTTTTAAATGGTTCCACAAATATGGGCTACTAAAAATATATAGTTGGGATCATATTTTCTTGTCTTTGTCTAAGTATAGGGCCCCTGTCCAAGCTATTTGCTCCACCTTCTCTGTGCAGGAGTCTGGTGGAAGGGCTTTGGTGCCAGGCAACCGTCCATGAGAACCCCCTTCTCAGTGACTTGAGGGCTTTACTTAACTTCTGCTAGAGCTTCCACAACTGCACATAGCATCACATTAAAAGGGCTTCTGTCTTCCTCTCAAGTCTACCTGCATCCCTGTTGTCCAACTTCTCATTCCTCCTCGTGTTATTACATTGTTGAACTTCCCTGCTGAGTGTTCAAGAACAAGTAGGTGATGCCTGTGCTGACCCCTCTCCTTCTACTGCTCAGTAAGCTGAGACTTTTCAGGCCTACCCTTAGAAACTTTTGAGAAGCCTCTTGGCCCCTTCAGTCTCTTCCTCTACTAGTTGTGTCATCTGCCAGAATGGGTCAAAGTCTTGCTGACCACATGGGGCTTGCCTTGAACTGTTAGGGACATTTTCCTCCCCAAAGACACTCCTCTGCAAAATGTTTGCAGATAGCTTTCTGGCCTCCAGGGTCCTCTTGGTTCCCCCCCCCCCGACTAGTAGGGTAGGTTACTCACTCAAGTGCGAGGCCCTTAGAGAGGGTCCTGGCTGACCTTGTAAAGCAAGACCAAAAATATTTGTTATTTTTCTTAGCCTTTATAATCTCACAGATGATAAATATAAATAATATTTACTTGTGTGTCTGCTTTGATCCAAAATAAGAAAAAAAATTAAATCCATAACAGAAAAGACTAGGCCACTAGTCATTATTTACAAAAATAAATAATATTCAGGCATTAAACTATGCTTGGTACTTTCAAGGAAAATATGAAATAAAGTTTAAATGAACAGAAAAGATGATGAAGTGGCATTATTGGATGGTCTTTTTTGCTGTTATGAATTAAAATATAAGTAAAA